GCAAAAATCGCGTTATAGCAAACAAGCGATCGCGTTATACAAATATTGTTCCGAATTCATAAATCGCGTTAGAGCAAATTCGCGTTATCAAAACACGCGTTATAGCAGAACTCACTGTACTGTATTTCATTGTAGATTTTTAATATTAAAAAAAAAAAAAATTGAAATTTATTTTTTATTTTTATTTTATTTTTTATGTCGGACTTACGACCTAGATTTGGGTCCCTAACCCCGTTGTAAGTCGGGGAGCACCTGTATTAGAAGGGCAGTACTATAAGAATTAATCTGTTGAGAATATATCCAACTACTATAACATCAAACAGATACTGTACTATGCAATTACATGTACAGATGTACTTGTATGGGGTTCTCCTTGTTCCACGAGACTATCAGCCACATCTACCTACTCTACTCGTACAAATGTTATCTCGGAGTCTGAAGAAGAAAGCCCATTGAAGATGCAGCTTACTTTCAAATCATTGTTCTCTCTCTGATAAAAGTCTCTTTAGAATTGTAAAATGATATCTTTGAAGGGGATGAACTGCATTTCTTTCACAGAGGATAATCATACATTTTTGTCACAAAACAACCACTCTCCTTTTTATTCATGCTCTAAGAAGAAGGAATCTGTGATTAAATGCTTTCAATCTTTTGTTTTTGATACAATATTTTTCAATTTTATCAGAAAGAAAAATTAAGGAGATGAAGGATTGGGAGAGATTTTTTCTAATTACAAACATGAATAACATGACAGTCAAGGTTTAAAAACCATAAGTGACATTTACCCCAATATCATTATACAACAAATCAGCAGAGCTTCACTGGCCTGTAGCATTATACATAAAATACCGTGAAGGGATATTGATGTTTGGCTACCAATTTTTACAGGGAAAAGGCATAATTTTTTGTTTCAATTTAACTTGAAAGATATTATTTAAGAGACAATGTACTAATTATACAATGCTACATAATGACTATAAAGATATATGCCCTAAAAAGGACTTTAGTTCATAAGTTCTTTGAATTCAATAATCTACATGGCCACCATGATATAAAAGGAGAGTGAAGGCCACATCCAATACAGTACCTGATAAATGAATTTTATCGTAAAAATGTTTTATACTGTATATGAACATAAGATAAATCAATTAATAATAAATTGAAAATGTGGACATACTGTATTTAAATCACAATAATTGCACTTGAGCGAAGAACCAACTTCAACCACGTGGTGCCTTTGGTAATCTTGTGACCTTAACATCTATTTTTTACTCCAAACATAGCAGCTTTAGAGGTTGTCATTATGAGTATACAATATTCGAGTTGATCCAAAAGTCCGTATCTCTTTTGTTGGGGGAGAATCAGGATGAAAAAGTAATTACAGAATCAAATACAGTGTATGTATTTATTATCGAGCTGAGGTCCAAAACTTTTACTTGACAAACATTGGTGTCTCTGCAATTCTCATATCGGTCCATTGCATTTTGGAGCGCATTCTCCAGTATCACTAAAGTTATTTTAGCATTTAACCCTACAATACTGTTCTACAGAGATCGTGCTGCCCCGGATCTGCTTCCACCATATCATATCTAGCGATTCGGCAAGAGCTCAAGGTAAGCCCAAACAATGCTTGTAAGACATGTGTTGAGAATGTCGTCAGAACAAAAAGTTAAAATTACAGAAACAAGGTTTAAAAAAAAAATATATATATATATATATATATATATATATATATATATATATATATATATATATATATATATATATATATATATATATATATATATATATATATATATATATATATATATATATATATATATATATATATATATATATATATATATCATCAAGGTTTTACAACCATTTTCCACACTTGTGTGGGTTAGCCATGATTTCCTAATGGTAGATGTTGGGTAAAACCAGAATAACGCCCCCACCTCCCTGCTTACAACCCCAAAAATCTGGCAGAGACCAAGGGATGATTACAACTCTGGTGGTCCAATTCCCATTAGGCATGTTGAAGCAAAGTTTTACAATAGGATAACCATCCTATTGCCAACCCACAAGATGAGAACGGATGGCAAGGCAGGGTCACAACTCCCTGTGGTAATCTAAGATTACAGGCACACCCTGATAACGGACGCATATAGGGACTGGGAAAAACCGTTGGTT